TGAAAGAGGTAGTTCAACATATATTTAAATCATTCCCGAAACAATGAAGTATGCGATGTGAGACTTACTTCCCAACATGTCCCCTCCATATAAGCTTGTCGGACCAGGCGAAGGGTTACCTTTGACCTATAACTAAAGGGCATTTTTTGGTCAATGACAACCGGAAAAAAGTTAAGTTTTGGATCTGATACCATCTAAAAAACCAGAGAAAAAAATCAAATACAATTTCTATCCATTATTTTCTTCTCTGGTTTTCGTAGAATAACTTCCTCTATATATAAATTTAACTAATTTCACATATATGAAGAGAATTAGTTAAATTTGCTTTAATAATTGATAACTATATAAGTGTGAATTGCAATGTTGGGTTATGACTCATCACTTTTAAATAGCACACAACTTAGTCTGAAATCAATTTGTTTCAACTCTTAGCCTAGAATAGTAATGTGCCAGCTAAACTACACTTCCAATTTGTCATCATCTCAAATATTGTTCTTACCCACCCAACCCAAATCTTTATGTTTTATGCAATTTCTTTTACCATAAATAATTATATAATTATTTATATAGAACATTACAAAATAGATTTGATCAATCTTCAACCATAAATTTGTCAACAATTATGTCATGAGGTTTTACAGTAAAAATTACATGTTGGTGTTTAATAAGTTTGATTATTTAAATAAGCTACAAGCTTATAAAGTTGTTTATAAGCTTATAATATAAGCTAGAGGCTTGTGTAATTTTACCAACTAGATATTGAAAAAACACTAACCGTAGTTTTTTATAAGATCATTTATGTGTTTGTCATGATGAGTTGTGGGAGAATGGCTCATCTCCATTAATGGAGAGACAATTAATTTTTTTATGTGTATTCTAATGGCAAAAATGTATTTTTCTTTTAAATAAAAATGTTATAAATGTCAATGCATGTTGTCTTTTATTTGTTTTTTTACATCACTTATCTCTCCATTAATGAAGATGAGTCTTGTGGCATGTTTGATAGATTATAACATTGAACTCAATAAATAAGTTTATGGAGTTATTTATTCAGTGAAAAAATGGAGGGGCATTATATGTTCCCAAATAGAAGATTGTAATATTGCATGTCTTAGTGCCAAAGTTTAATCATTTTAAGGGGAATGCTGTATTTAATAGTGGAATTCTATATTGAAACATTAAATCTTACAAAACTCAAATACTATAATTTTCATGAACATTTTATTTTGTACATTTGGTCTTATTGAAGAACACTATTGAAGAATCCTTAACATTATCCATGGTTGAATTAAAAGAGGGTATGTGATTGGTGGTTGAATTAAAATCCTTGTGATAAAGGATAATGTTCCACAACCAAACTGCATGTTTTCTCTCCCTCCAAATTCAGATTCCTTTCTGTTCATGCCCTCCAAATATCAATATCTTCTCACTCCTTCCAACACTTATTTAATTCAACTACTTTTGTTCTCATTCTCTTCAAATATTTTAAAAAATGTTCAGTAAAAAAAGAAATATTCACCATTTTCAAAAACATATACCATGTAGAGGAGTTCAGATCCTCGAGAGTCCAGTACAGGAATATAAGGCCAAGATTAATTTGATCATTTGCAATAAAATTTTAAGTTAAAATCAAATCATTAAAAAATATCAAATGTCACATGTCATGATCTCATCCAGGAGGATCCAGATTCCATGTAGAGAGAGAAAGACAGGACAATAGATGCACATTTAGAGGGATAAAAATCATATGTCCCGAATGATGTCTCAATCTTTATCCTAAACCAAGAATGTTATGTTTGATTTTAAAAAATTTATTTTATTCATATGATAATATATTATTAGTACGACATAGGGAATGAGATACTGATCGAGATATCTAAGACAAAGTAAAGTAAATCCCAACAACCACAGAAGAAGAAAAAAAACAGAACCCATATCAAAGTATCAATCACAAGTCATAACCCATTATTTTTCTTCCTTAATCAGAGCCCTATGTGACTGTGATAGCATCACTCCAGAAGCAAAATAAAAATAAAAATCCCACCTTTGAAGCCTTTTCACCAAAAACATGCCATGATTTGATACCTCTCTCAACAAACACCTAAATGGGGTTTCCTAGAAAGTCATTGTTCCTTCTTTTGCTTCTGGTTTTGTTCACAAATCTCTGGCCACCCCAACTTGTTGAATCTGCTTCTGATTATACTACTTTGGTCTACAAGGGTTGCTCCAAAAATGCTTTCACAGATCCATCTGGTGTTTACTCACAAGCCCTCTCTTCACTCTTTGGCTCATTGGTCTTACAATCCACAAAAGTTAAGTTCTTTAAGGCCACTGCTGGCACTGGCCAAACCACCATTACTGGTCTCTTCCAATGCAGAGGGGATCTAACAAACACTGATTGCTACAACTGTGTCAAAAAGTTACCAGTTTTGTCTGACAAGCTTTGTGGCAAGACAATAGCTTCAAGGGTTCAGCTACTAGGTTGTTACATGCTGTACGAGGTTGCTGGGTTTGAACAAATCTCTGGGATGCAAATGTTGTTCAAGACTTGTGGGGGTAAAAATGGTAATGGGAGAGGGTTTGAGGAGAAAAGGGACACTGCTTTTTCTGTGATGGAAAATGGGGTTGTAAATGGTCATGGTTTTTATGCTACTAGCTACCAATCTTTGTATGTGATGGGACAGTGTGAAGGAGATGTTGGTGATTCAGATTGTGGTGAGTGTGTGAAGAATGCTGTGCAAAAAGCTGAAGTTGAGTGTGGTAGTTCTGTTTCAGGTCAAGTTTATTTGCATAAATGCTTCATTAGTTATAGTTATTACTCAAATGGGGTTCCAAGGACACACCCTTCATTTGGATCATCATCACCTTCTTCTTCCTCAGGTATTCACTAATCTGATGCATGAATTACTTAAATCTGGGACTAAATAAAGTTTCAATTCTTATTTATGCTATAAGTTCATAAAATATATTATGTTCACACAACTCAAATTTTGTATCAGCATTCTCTATTAATTGTCCCTAATTGTGTTATTAAAACTTCAAAGTAGGGGTGCTATTTTGCTCAATATGTACCATATTTTAATTTTGATGAAGTGGTTTGTGGCTAATTGATTCAATTACAGGACAAAATATAGGGAAGACAGTGGCTATAATATTAGGAGGTGCAGCTGGTGTGGCTTTTTTGCTTATATTGTTGCTATTTGCTAGGAATTTGATGAAAAAACCTGATGGTAGGTCTTATATGTAGTTAATGTTTAATGTGACAGCACATCTTCTGTCCCTTAATTTGTGTCGTTACTTTAATTCGTCAGAAATATATTTAATTATTAAATTTTTAACTTAAATATATTTTTCAACATAGAATGTCACGATTTTGTGGACAGAAAATTAACTCATGTTTAATCTACTCATAAGTTTGTTTGTATTCCTACTAATTCTATATTTTGATTATGACATTTTTGGAATATCTTTTTATTGCACAGATTGACTGTAGAACATGGTTTGCTTGGCTGAGGTGGCAAAATTCTTTCAACATATATAGCTTTTGAATGAAAGAGATGAAAAATTTATGGTAATAGACATAGCTAGAGAAAGAATCTTGGACAGGTCAATGTGGGGACTACTAGGATAATGATATTTTGTTGTGAAGAACAACACCATAATTAGTTCTTGAAAGTTATAAAAATTTTACATTACAATGTAAAAAAATTAGCCAGAGGAATGAATGTTTTATTTTATCATCCAAAATGGATGAAAATTTTGTGCCTAATATATCCTTTAGCAATGTGGGTGGTTTCACTTTTCCTTGTTCAAAACACTATTGACTATAGAGTCTACATTTTCTTTTCTTCAATAACTTTAACTTTTAGAAAATGCAAGTTGCATCATCCTACTCCATATAGGTCTTGTGTGTTGCATTAACATGAAAAGTACATAAAACAAAGACATGTAGTTGTTTAGCATTAGCATGTGCCTTCACTCTTCTACTTTCCATTCTCTCATGCTTCTTGGAAATGGGGTAGAATGGCCTCTTTGGTGAGCATGGATCCTCTCCATTAACAATGAAATAATTGGTATTTTTATACTTAGTTTTAAGGATAAAAATATCATTACAAGTATAAATAAATTGATATAATTTTCCTTTCATTTTCCTTTTTGTGACTTGTTTTACACATTACTTTCATCTCCATTGCTCTAGCTCCTTTGCTTCTCCCTTATTTAAAACTTAAAAGTGGCATCTAATATTTTATGCATTGTTTTTCACATTACATGTTCCTTAATTTTCTCACCATTTTACTTTATTGTTCTTTGTTTTCTATCTATAATATATAATTAATATAAAAGTAATTAATATTCTCTTAAACTTTGTGGATAACAAAATTAAATATGAGCACTTTAAAAGAAACTATATAAAAGGAAAAGCATAATTGTTTTATCAAGAAAAAAATGGAACAAATGCATAAATGCCTTTTAGAGTTCAAGCCAACAACTATTTATATTTGAGTTGGCATATTAAATTTTGTAAACTCTAGTTGAACATTAATGTTCACTATTCACAAAAAAATTCCTTGGATTTGATGGTTCCTTCAATGGTGGTTGTGATCAATGAAGATACCTTTTGTATTTTCTTGTCTTATTTTTTAACGTTAGAGTAGTTCATAAATTCCCCCCTTTTGTCGTTTTTAGATGATGGACAAAACCATTTCGTTTGTGGTTTGTGACACTTGCATTACATTCCTTTTGGGTCAATAATTTATCTATAGCATTTACTCTATGAATGTATCTTCTCTAATTTCTTACTTTCCTCCATCTTCCAATTTTATTTTATCTTAAGAGTACTTCATGATTTCCTTCTTCACTTACTTTTAGATAATGGATTTGAATACTAGAATATTTTCCTTCTAATCTCTTGATATACATATATGATTTACCATGAAGCACTGGTATCTGATATCTCAGGTTTTGGTTTACTTTTCCTTAAACAATCTTAAAAAAAGCTCAAAGGATATATGGCATCTCATCCACTTTCTTCTTTAAAGTACCATATATGCATGCATCAATAAACATTGCATATCAATGTCAAAGTAAAGCATGTTAACATGGATTGTTACATCAAAACATGTACTTTTTTATTCTCTTTTTTTGAGAGGGAATCTACTCCTAGATTAACATTAGCTACCAACAAATTTCCAATGTTTCTAAAACTTCCAGCTCTTAGGTACTTTTTCTGATTTTATGCTGACTTTGTGGACATTTTTCTTCCTTATGGGATCAATTTTATCATTACACCCAGGCTCCTTTGATTTTCTTGTGTCTGGAGGAGTATCAGTAACCGCATATGACTTAACTTTAAGCTGCACACGCCTATTTTGTAGCACGGCACCATTCGATGTAGCAGAAACTCTTCCATCTCTGGTCTTGTTTTTATGCCCTATCAAAATGTCATTATCTGAATACAGGATTGAAATTTAGTTAAGAGGTCAACTTTGTGAGAGAACACTATGAATCAACCAGCATGCACATAACTCACATCTCAAAAACAAGGGAAACTAAAACAGTATACAATATGATAAATGGTACTTTGCAAAGTTTTACATATCTAACCCTCTGCTAAAGCATTTCACTTTCCAAACTTTATAAATTAAACCACAATTTGCCACTCAAAAGGAGTTGGCTGAGTGGTGTAAGGCTCAGATCAGATGGATCCCAATGTATCATACTAGGTCAAAGGTTAAAGTTCGACCCCTGATTCCATGAGAGTAACACTTGCTGAGAGGAATAGCCACATACCCCAGAAATGATTAGTTTCTTATCCAAAAATCATGGTTTGCGTTTTTCTTCTTCATTAGCCAGGATTTTGTAAAAGTGATATGAGTTGCATTACATCTTTCTGGAAGAAATTTTAATGAATTACTTGTAAAAAAAATAAAAAATGCATATCTTCTTAGAGGATCTCTATCAGAAAGTACTTCACTGAGCTTCAATGGTCCATCAAAAGAAGCCCATCAGATTCTTCTCTATATTATAAAGCACAATTGTTCTTATAACCTCTATCAATTTTAGACAAAATTCAGAATTCCGATTGTAAAAAATATTTGGTATATAAATAAATATATTTCAAAAACAAATCAATGAAAAAGTGAGATTTACCAGGACTAGAAATGATAGCACGAGGGCGTGGATTCGGACCGGCTCTAATATGTAGTGTAACCTCATCACTATTTCCATCCCTCTCAGTTTCTGAAGAATCAGATAACAAACTGCAGTCCCCAAAATCTTTGGTTACATTTACTCGCGGAGTAGGTACATATGACACATAACACTTTGGTACTTTGACAGTGGATCGCACAATGACATTCTTCTTGTCAATCACTGTAAATTTAGACAATAATGATTCAACACAAATAAATAGAACCGGATGGATAATACTAGCAACAGTTTACTAATTGCAAACAAGATTGTTCACTCAATCAAAAGAATGACAATGTTGAACATAACAATGTCGGTATTGCAAAACTACATTCAAATATAGGCCAAATTTGTAGGGATGAACTAAAACTAACAAGATGGAAAAGAAAAGAATGACTGCATGGTTCACCCATGTGACTACTCCCCCTAGTATTTGTTGTATCGGTAGCCCGCAACAATGACACGAGATAATCTTTACGACCAGGTCGCTCTCTTTAAGAATCGTTCTCGAATACACCCAAAAATATGGCTTCCAGTGCCAATTCCAAATACCCACAATATTGGCTTCCCATGCCAATTCTATTCCAACAACTGACTACCAGTGTCAGTATTGGAATTTCCCATAATATTGGATTCATGTTCCAACTCTAGTGCCACGGAAAGAAAGGGAGAGAAATGAGGCCGGAATTGCGTCGGCAGAATTTATGGAGGGAGAATGAAAGAAGCTTGTATAAGCGTACAAGCTTCAGGTGCCAAAAAATAATGAAGGAAGAGACCTCTATTTATAGAATGCGATTTTGTCACTACTCTTGCATCCTCCAATGTGGGACTTGTGAGATTTTTTCAAAATCTTTCAATGTGGGACTTGTGAGGTTTTTACAAAAACTTCCAATATGGGACTTGTGAGTTTTTCAATTTCACATCCTAAGGTCCACACTAATGGCATCAAACTACAAAAGTTCCAACAGTATTGCTTCAAATGCTTTCCCTATTTTTCAAGTAAATAGCATCCTTGATCAAAATTGAAGAACAAGAGTATAGCTATTGGATATAAAAAAGAACCTACTGGTGTTATCTCCCCTCATTGGAAGTGGATATAAAAAAGTAAAAGACATGAGAGAATAAGTTACATTGTGTGACTTCGACTCGTGCTAGGCTTAACACCAGTAGTAGATGTCATTATGTGAGAGATGGTCCAATGCACATCCTAAATGAAAAGGCTCCACTTCTATCTGGAGAACTGGTATTGCAGCTAGATTCTGGGGGGTTGGCACAGTGCTTGGTCCGTCACTTGTTGGCTGCTAATACAATTGTTAAATAAGAGATTCATTTCCTAGGCTTTCAAGTTCAATCATAATTATTCAGTATTTGATGTATTGGATCAACCAAGGAACACATACTTTTGGAGTTCAAAGTGTCAGTGTGGATGTTACACTACACTCCTGCTTTTACCGCCGGGCTTTGGGATTTTACAGGGCTCATCTTGACCTGGATTCCATTTCTCTTGCGCAGCTGTTTCGGGATTTTGCTGCGGGAGGTCAAATCAACCGGATTATATTGCTAGTTTGGGCTGTTACCTGAAGCAAGGATTAAATTTTGGAATGTTCCTCTTGCTGACTTTCAGAGGGTTGCTATTATGTGATTATTAACATGGGGATCTCTACTCTCCATTCTGTTTCCTTCTAGTTGCTATCTGGTTCTTTTGACCCACCCAAATATCATTCAAATAAATACACATAGTGAACAGACTTAAATGAAACAAACAGTTTCAAGAACTACAAGCTAGTACTTATTATCACTCCACTTCAACTTTTTATTAAGTATCAAGTAGTTGATTTTAGTAGGCGAGCTTTAGTGCAATAGTAAAGTTGTTTGTCTTATGATTCGGAAGTCATGGTTTCAAATCGTGAGAACAATCTCTTCGGTCGTGAGAACAATTTACCATCACCCAAATCCCACTAGCGGGGAGCCTCATGGACTAAACCCCTATTTCATGAATCATCAACCATTAACTCATTTTATAACATTCATATCTAATTTACGAGTCTGGCTCCTCTCCAGTAATGGAGAGACCAGTTAGATTTTTTAGTGTATGTTTAGTGGTAAAAACGTAATAATAAATAATAAAAATGGATGGTTTTAGATATAAATTATAAATTAGAATTACCTGGAGAAGAAAGAGAGAGGAATGATTTCAAACCAAGGTCCCGTACATCAGTATCCTCTTCAAGAGGTTCCTGTTTTACCGTCACTTTTGGATACAAAGACACTGAACAAAAACAATAATACCCATTTCAGATCAAAACAAGGTAAATCATTATAGCCACAACACAAGAAAAAAAACACAAATTTAAATAAATACCCACTTGTTTATTTGCTTAAAGATCTTAACTTTGATTTTGTTTTGCAATGGTTCTTTGGATAAAACAAGAGGGTTGTGCTTATGAATAAATGGTGATAAAAAGACTCATTAATATTAACAACACAAAAAAGTGCTTAATGATTGATTATTTTTCTTTCCACTTTGACTGGAGAACTTGGGGAATGGTAGGGTCTAGTGAGAGTTGAACCAATGCGTCATTTCACAGCAAAATATTGAATATTTTGTATCAGATACGCTACACATTTTGGAACGTTGACAAAGTTTCTTTTAAGTTTTAACAAACAAAAATCTTAAGGGAATTAATCTATTTAGGTATTGTAGCAATCCTTCATAACAAACATAACTTGTGGAGATTGAATTAAAAAATTTGTCTTTAAATATATTTTCAACCTTATGATAGGCATTTATTCCATTTTTGTTCTGTATATGGAAGATATATTAAGTTTTTACATTTGTGAAATTGTAATAGAATAATTTCTAGTTTTAAATAAATATTTTCAATGACCTTCATTATATTTTACAAGCATATCTTCCACATTATAATAAAATGTGTACATGATGACTTAAATAACTCATCAAAATCACTTAATAAATATTTTTTATGTCCTTCATTAGATTTATTTTTTTATATTTTTTGAATTATAGACCTCTAAATCTATTTGAATTAACTGTTATTTATTTTTCAAATGTTAAATTATTTTTTAGATTATTTTAGTTTTTTAAGGTTAAATATTAGTAACCCTACAAAATTCATACATATTACTTTGGCTATTATTTATCTATCTTCATATTTATTTAGAGAAGTTGAAGTGTATATTAATTTTGATATTTGTTTCAATGGGTTCTGCTTGTGTCTTTTAGGTTTAATATTCTGACATGGTAGTCAACTTTCACCTTTTAGGGAAAAAAGTTGCATGATTGAGAGGTTAATATTCTAACATGGTATTCATTTCATCTTAAACTATCTCATTCTTATCCATGCATCTTGGAAGCTAAGAATTCTGATTAAAAAATAGTAGTAGTACAAATAGTGACATTTATACACTTATTAAAACCGTACCGGTTATCAAATCGGTTAGGGTATTGGTATAGTGGTACAGTGGTTCCGCATGCAGTTAAACCGGACATATTTGCTTATATATATATATAAACCTATAACAAAAAATTTCAAATAAGTAGATATTCATATTTATAATTCATATTCATAATTTACTTCAAATTCACACAAACAAACAACATTAAGTCTTTAATAAAATCAAAGTCTAAAGTACAAAACATATATTTATCCAAAATTATTACTTAACAAACGCAAAATACAAATAAATGACCCAAATATCAATCATTGAAGTTGAAGAATTGGTGAAGAATTGAAAATTTGAAATTTTAAAAAAAAAAATAATGTACAAACCGACCGGTTTAAACCGGTTTACCGGTTTTCAACCGGTTTTGACCGGTTCTATTGCATATGCGGTATAACATACGTACCGTACCGGTTAGGGATCCGGTTCACCGGTTTTCCAGTTGAATCGGCCGGTACGGCACGGTTTTTAAAACATTGTCATGTTTATTTTACATTTATACACCATAAATGTATGAATAATATATTTGATGATATAAACCATCTATACATGTCTTTTTACATTAAAAAGGTCTATTTTACTACAATAGGCCGAAAAGTTGATTTTAGATTCAAGTTGTGTCAAACCAAATGGGCTTATGGGTAGATTTGTTTGGGTCACTTGGGTGATTAGCCCAAAACATTGAGGATAATTCTTTGTATAGGCGATTATGAATTGGTAATATGATTAATATTTTATAGATGACACATTTCATTTTCCAATAACACACAAACGAATTCAATTTGTTTGTGAGTTGTATTTGGTATATGAATTAGGAGATAATTCTAAAACATTTTATTTTTCTTTATTCTATTTTTAAACTATCTTCTCACAAATAATGTGTTCTTAGTTTCAGGTTTTCCAATTGGAGCTAATATATTTAAATATTGGATTCATTTCAGCTTTGTCTCAAGATGAAAATGTGATTAATAAATATAAATCACATAAAAAAAATTTAGGGCAAAATTTACCTACGATTCCATGTGTATTTGTAGTGCAGGGAACCTATTAAAATGTGACACATGTATATTTTTTCACATGATTGGCATGTGAACACTTATACCGTTCCTGGTTTTCTCATTTTCGCCTAAGGCCCAATACACATGAAAAAACAAAACTATGTAAAAAGGTTTTTGAGTCACTTTCATGGAAAAATTCGGGCGACCTTCAATCACTTGAATTGCACCCAAATCTACAAATATAACCTCTGTCGCAGCTTGGGCTTCCATGGTCATTGCCATCTTCATAATAAACAAGCTTTCATGATTTTTTCCATCTTCATACATGATTGATTGTTCTGAATTCCAAATATTCAAATATTGATTGAGGCTTCATTAATAAATCAAACAAAAAAATAAATAAAGTGATTGATAAGGACAACATGAAGTTGTTCCTCTTCTTTACCCATAATGAGATTAAGAAACTTAACAAGATACAAAGAACTAGGAGTAATCCTTGAAGAGATAGATTATTAACCGTAAAAAAAAGTAAAAGGAACTTAACAACATTACTTAATGGTGTGAGTATTAAGTATTAAATAAACACGTGTCTTAGGCAAAAATTATAAGTTATAAGTCATTCTATTTGACTTGTGAGCAAACAAGCAATTGACACTGATATTTTTAACTCAAAACTTAGGGGTTAATATTTGAGTAAATATTTATAAACTCGTAGTATAAGAGTTTTATTGACCGTAAAATAAAACTAATTCAAATAAATGATATACTAAATATATATAAATATTTACATTGTTAATATATTATACTCTTAATATTTAAACAATAAAATTACGTACGATATATACTTAATTAAAATAAAGTTATAGCAATTAAGGACGAGAGACAAAAAAGAAGAAGAAGGAAGTAGAAACCAGAAAGACAAAACAATAATTGAATGTAAACGGTCGGAAATAGGAATGAAATAAAAAGCAGAGAACATTATCCATTTTAGAGTGGCGGGAAGAAACTGTGTTCTTTTTCATTTCAGAACTGAGAGAGAGAATAACTTATCTGAACCCTAGAATCTTCAAAACTGAGATTCACCGTTTTCATCGCAATGCAGTGGTTAGCGATTAGAAACGGCGTCGTTCTATTACCGCGGTTGCGTTCCTTCGCTCTCTTCCTTCCTTCTCCTACATCATATACATCTATTCCATTCATCCCCATACGCATGTTCAAGTAATAACGCTCTCTTTCTCATATTATTTATTACTATTTTGTTGTACTTGTGATTTATCACGATCCAGAGAATGAAAATTAGTTGTTATTAATCAACGGTTTTGGTACAATCGATTCAGTAACTAACTGCCTAGAACTGATTCTTGAAAATGATTGCAATACTCTTGTTCAATACTTTTCTTCTTTAAGTAAAGTTGTTATTGCGTAGTCACATCCGAGTTCTTGGTTCAAATATTACGTAAGGTTGCGGACATGAACCTCACACCCTATTAAGTGGCAATCTTGTCCACTGAACCACTTTTTATTCAGAAATAGTAGGCATATTTTTTTATTTATACCTATTAAGCACCGATACCGACACGAGTATTGGATACATGGTCGATACATATATGTTTGAAGATGTTGGATACCATATGTTTGGGATACTTATATAAAACATCTATGTAAAATTCATAAAACATAATAAACATAAAATTGTATCTTTTCTAAGTTTTATCCTCCTTCTGAGTTTTATCCCCCCCCCCCCCCCACCCACCCACCTTTATCTTCTAATTTCTGTCAGAATTTATTCCAGTGCACTTTGCTATCCTTTTTTGTTAATATTTTCTTGACTTGCCAAAATTTTAGTGATTTAAATTTCATTTCTTTTGTGGTATAGCATGTAAATTTGTATCTTTTTAATGAACAGAGGACAGCCTGAGAAAGTAGTGTGCTTTACATATAGGAAGGTAGTGCGGGGGAGCAGTAAAGCAGCAAAGAAGCACAAAACACAAAATAATGTTTTAGATGATAAAAATCTTTCTCACATATTGTGGTGGAAGGAGGTGCCATTAGTTTCTTGCCTCTAGTTATATTTCAAATTTAGCCATGGCTTCTAAAAACTTTTATTTTTTTATTAAACGATGGATTCTTTTGTGAAACGTTGCATTCTCTTTTTCCTCAAAATTGGGCAGAGGATGGAAATATTCAGAAAGCCGTCAACTATCCAGCTATTGAGAAGGCTCGAATATTCCAATTTGCTGGGCTTGAATACTAACTTGAAAAATGGAAGGTACTTATGAATTTGAGGCTATTATTTTCCACTTTTACTTTCATGTAGGACTTTTAATGCACATGTATGGTGACTTTCCAATGTATGTTACATTTTTTATTTATTTAATTTTTTAAATAAGAAATTAAATATTATTAGAAGTGAATGATAATGAACCTACGTCCTTACCCTATGATGATATCATTGAAACAATTGATGACTTGAACAAAATGATTATGATGCTCCTTTTGTTCTGTGCAAAGGAACCAGAACCTGCAGTAAACATGTCTAGTTCATGTCATTTGAAAATATCCCTCATAAGTCATAACCACAGGACCATTGTTACTAGTCTAAATATTCATATTCCAAAAATGTTATCCAAGGCATTAGGAAATAAGAGTCGTAAAAATGCTTCAAAGTTTGAGATGGAAACACTTGAGAGTAAAGTAAACTGGCTGGGAGTAGATTTGTGTTCACAACTAAATACAATTCATAAGACACTTTGGACAGATATAAGGCATGTGGTTGCAAGGTCTGTGCTGCAATTCTAATTCTCCCTGTCAAGTCCTTTGCTTGGACATTGGTACTTCACAGGAATATCACTATTGCTTTGTTGCCGACTCAGGCCTCACACCACTTTTTTCTCCAGAGGGGTTGTGATTGTGACATGTACATAGTTAGCTGAAGATAATAAGCTGCCCTCCTGTCCCCTTCCTCACAATCATAAAATCATCTTCTTTTAGAACGACCTTTTTCAGGTTCTTTGTGAGCATTGGGTGTGTTCTCAAACACGGAGCTCTTGATTCTGGTTTGGTAATTGGAATAATGGTTTTGGCTAAA